ACTTGGATGGCTCACAACTTCCTCCAGCTAAATTAAGACAAGACAGAGGTACTTATTATTGGAGCCCAAGCACAGAGAGAGAATCTGGCCACATATTTTAATTCACAGGCAATAAAGATTTAAAAAAAAACATTTTAGATTCTGAACTAAATTTCCAATCACACATTAGGAATGTGACCAAAACAGCTTTTTACCACCTGAGGAACATTGCCAAGGTGCGGCCGTTTCTCTCTCAGGCTGACACAGAGAGACTCATCCATGCTTTTATTACAAGCAGGCTTGACTACTGTAATGCTCTCCTGTCTGGTCTACCCAAGAAAGCCATTGGTCAACTGCAAAACATACAGAATGCTGCAGCACGGGTACTGACCAAGACCAGAAAGAGAGCACACATTACACCGGTTTTAAAGTCTCTGCACTGGCTGCCTGTGAGTTCTAGAATTCATTTTTAGGTTATTCTATTGGTTTTTAAATCAATCCACGACTGTGCATCCCAATACATGTCAGACCTGCTTTTTAGTTACTATGCCCCCAGCCTCTGGAATAGCCTGCCAGAGAACCTGAGAGGGCTGAAACTTTTGACGTATTTAAAAAATAGATCTTAAAACACACCTTTTTAGCTCTGCTTTTTCTTAGGGTGTTTTTTAGTCTTTCAGTATTTATTGTTATTCTTTTGATTTTTATCCTCTTATGTTTGTTGTGTAGTAAATATTTATGTTTTGTCCTCTGTAGAGGACAGAGATGGAGGTGGTTCTCAACATGGCACGGTTCATCACAGTAAAGAGGAGTGAGATGGAGAGGAGAGATGAAGCTCCTTCTTCACATTCAACTTTCTCAACACTAATGAGAGAGACACAGAGTGAACAGAGGCTGGGAGCTAGGCCTTTTCACTTGGCTCTAACAACACAGGCCACAGTGGAGCCCCGGGGAGATGTTTTTCTCATCAGATGGGAGGGAAATAAGAGAGGAAAATAAAACCTAGCGCTCAAGAGCACCTTGGGGGGGGCTGTCCCTATTTGTTGGCTCCCAAGAAGGCTGAGTGGGACTTAGGGAGTGCCGAGAGCCCCGCTGGCCAGACTCCTCTACTGGCGGTTGACTAGCAATGTTCCCTCAAATCTTCCCCTCAGCAAATGTAAGTACTGTGAGCTGAAACTTAAATTTTTGCGAGCATTCTGTGCAACTTCCGGTGCAACGTTACCTGAGACCACTTTACCCGCTTTAAGTTACAGTTTCAGACAGTGGCCAATAGGCTATTGTGGCTATTTGAGCATAATGTAGTCCTATCAGAGTGGCCTATCAACTAAACCAGTGGAGCCGTAACATTTCCACATGGATATACACTGAGTGTACAAAACATGCTCTTTCCAGGACCTACAGTCATGGCCAAAAGTTTTGAGAATGACCCAAGTATTGGTCTTCACAAAGTTTGCTGCTTCAGTGTTATGAGATATTTTTGTCAGATGTTACTGTGGTATGCTGAAGTATAATTACAAGCATTCCATAAGTGTCAAAGGCTTTTATTGACAATGACATTCAGTTTATGCAAAGAGTCAATATTTGCAGTGTTGACCCTTCTCTTTCAAGACCTCTGCAATCCTCCCTGGCATGCTGTCAATTAACTTATTGGCCACATCCTGACTGATGGCAGCCCATTCTTGCATAATCAATGCTTGGAGTTTGTCCGAATTTGTGGGTTTTTGTTTGTCCACCTGCCTCTTGAGGATTGACCACAAGTTCTCAATGGGATTAAGGTCTGTGGCGTTTGCTGGCCATGGACCCAAAATGTAGATGTTTTGTTCCCCGAGCCACTTAGTTATCACTTTTGCCTTATGGCAAGGAGCTCCATCATGCTGGAAAAGGCATTGTTCGTCACCAAACTGTTCTTGGATGGTTGGGAGAAGTTGCTCTCGCAGGATGTGTTGGTACCATTCTTTATTCATGGCTGTGTTCTTAGGCAAATTTGTGAGTGAGCCCACTCCCTTGGCTGAGAAGCAAACCCACACATGAATGGTCTCAGGATGCTTTACTGTTGGCATGACACAGGACTGATGGTAGCGCTCACCTTGTCTTCTCCGGACAAGCTTTTTTCCGGATGCCCCAAACAATCGGAAAGGGGATTCATCAGAGAAAATGACTTTACCCCAGTCCTCACCAGTCCAATCCCTGTACCTTTTGCAGAATATCAGTCTGTCCCTGATGTTTTTCCTGGAGAGAAGTGGCTTCCTTGCTGCCCTTCTTGACACCAGGCCATCCTCCAAAAGTGTTTGCCTCACTGTGCGTGCAGATGCACTCACACCTGCCTGCTGCCATTCCTGAGCAAGCTCTGCACTGGTGGTGCCCCAATCCCGCAGCTGAATCAACTTTAGGAGACGGTCCTGGCGCTTGCTGGACTTTCTTGGGTGCCCTGAATCCTTCTACACAACAATTGAACCTCTCTCCTTGAAGTTCTTGATGATCCGATAAATGGTTGATTTAGGTGCAATCTTACTAGCAGCAATATCCTTGCCTGTGAAGCCCTTTTTGTGCAAAGCAATGATGACGGCACGTGTTTCCTTGCAGGTAACCATGGTTAACAGAGGAAGAACAATGATGTCAAGCACCACCCTACTTTTAAAGCTTCCAGTCTGTTATTCTAACTCAATCAGCATGACAGAGTGATCTCCAGCCTTGTCCTCGTCAACACTCTCACCTGTATTAACGAGAGAATCACTGACATGATGTCAGCTGGTCCTTTTGTGGCAGGGCTGAAATGCAGTGGAAATGTTTTCTTGGGATTAAGTTCATTTTCATGGCAAAGAGGGACTTTGCAATTAATAGCAATTCATCTGATCACTCTTCATAACATTCTGGAGTATATGCAAATTGGCATCATAAAAACTGAGGCAGCAGACTTTGTGAAAATTAATATTTGTGTCATTCTCAAAACTTTTGACCACGACTGTAGACTGACCAGGTGAATCCAGGAGAAAGCTATGATCCTTTATTGATGTCACCTGTTAAATCCACTTCAATCAGTGTAGATGAAGGGGAGGAGACAGGTTAAAGAAGGAATTGTTAAGCATTGAGACAATGGAGACATGGATCGTGTATGTGTGCCATTCAAGAAGGGTGAATGGGCAAGACAAAAGATTGAAGTGCCTTTGAACAGGGTATGGTAGTAGGAGCCAGGCGCATCGTTTTGAATGTGTCAAGAACTGCAACGCTGCTGGGTTTTTCACGCTCAACAGTTTCCTGTTTGTATCAAGAATGGTCCACCACCCAAAAGACATCCAGCCAACTTGACAAAACTGTGGGAAGCATTGGAGTCAACATGGGCCAGCATCCCTGTGGAACGCTTTCGACCCCTTGTAGAGTCCATGCCCCGACGAATTGAGGCTGTTCTGAGGGCAAAAGGAGGTGCACCTCAATATTAGGATGGTGTTCCTAATGTTTTGTCCACTCAGTGTAGATATCGGTTGACTTCTATGAGGTCGCCTACAATAGCCAATATGTGGGTGTTCAATGTAGGCCTACATTCCATGAGACTTTTTAAAAACATTATACACGACCTGACATGAACCATTTTAGGACTGATGTTTTATTTGTCCGAAAGCTCAAATCACTTTATAAAAATATGAAATAATCTGTAACACAATTGGCCAAATAGGTGACTGAAAATTGCATTGTATTGTGTTATATGACGCAAGAAACCACTTTAATTATTTTTTTTAATTCTTATCATTATTATTACCATACATAGAATCATATGTAATTGATAATAATTTATCCTGTTCGTCTCTGCTTTATATATAGATATAGATATAGATATGGATGGATAGATTAACTGTAAGTCGCTCTGGATAAGAGCGTCTGCTAAATTACTAAAATGTAATAGATGGATAGATAGTCCCGTGTAGCTCAGTTGGTAGAGCATGGCGTTTGCAACGCCAGGGCTGTGGGTTCGTTTCCCACGGGGGGCCAGTATGAAAAATGTATGCACTCACTAACTGTAAGTCGCTCTGGATAAGAGCGTCTGCTAAATGACTAACATTTTAATTTAAATGTATACTACTCTCATTTTTAAGCCTGTCTCCAGGACATTGCCCATTTAAGACAAAATAATCTCTTTACCTGACTGGCTTTTTAAAGACAGATACAGTATGTTCAAGTGTTCTGCTCTAGTAGGAAGCGATGACTCTCCTACTGCTGACCAAAATGGGCTACAACCGGGTTAGTAACTCACTACCTAGCAACTCAACTAATGTGCACACGAGGCTACATGCAGCTACACGTGGCTCTGCCTTGTGATCTCGAATGCGCATCTAGGCTACCCTCCTACTGCGGGTGATGGAAAAAACAAATGTGCCAGTAAAATAGAACAAGGCCACTCCTCACCGGGCCAGCCAACAACAAAAATCACCAACTTAGTGTTGAAGTTAGATCTGGTTTGTTGCATTGAAAGGGACTGTTATTATGTTGATTCAGTCCCAATTTCCATAGGAGAGGGATCATTTTATCTGTTTTCAAGCCAGGAAAGATGGTGTACTGTACATTTTAGTGAAGTTCAATCATGTGCGTCTCTGCACGGGTTGGCAATTCTTCATAGGCTGGGAGGCTGGAGGGGCAAGGCTGGAGATGGATGTGGAGATGTGGTTGGGTACTTTGGCTATGGATTACACATTTGCACTATAGTGGAGGAACCACTCCAGATGAATGGGAGAGCTTCTTAATGACGTGGAGGAACAGAGCAGAAAAGGAGGACGCTCATCAGAATTGGTGGATGTATTTGCTGCTGAGTGTTATAGTGCTCTTTATAATAATCATAGAAAAAAGACCTACATTGTGGGAGGAGAAACATTGGACAGGTGCAGGTACTGACACTACCACCTCATAACGTACGGCTTAGGGAACAAACAGGAGGTATCTTTAGAAAATGTGGGTGACAGTTTCCTCTTGTCTGACTGAGAGTTACTACGGTGTGAGGATAGAGGCAGGGTACTGCTGTGTGTGTTAGTGTGTTAGCATGCCAGGGTGTTGGCTGGCTGGCTGACTGGCTGGATGGCCGGATGCATACCGATGGTGCAGTGCTCTCCGTTCCAGCCCTGTTGGCACTGACACTTTCCGTCCCGGCATGTCCCGTGCTTCACACACAGCGGGTTGCAGACACGCTGGTCACACCCGGCGCCGGTCCAGCCCTCCTCACAGCGACACACTCCGCCAATACACACGCCGTGGGCGCCACAGTCCGACGAGCAAACCTCTGTGGAGGCACACATAGGGTAGGTACATGAGCACAGTAAAAAGAGAGTGGGTCAGTATAGTAGATGGACAGAGAGAAAGTGCTTTCACAGAGGAGGTGTGGCCATGGTGTGGGATGAGTGTGTGTCGGGTGATTCTGTGATTTATATTAGGATTCCCATTAGCCGGGGTACGACACATAACGAAAAGTCTTCCTGGGGTCCGACACATAACGAAAAGTCTTCCTGGGGTCCGACACATAATGAAAAGTCTTCCTGGGGTCCGACACATAACGAAAAGTCTTCCTGGGGTCCGACACGTAACGAAAAGTCTTCCTGGGGTTCGACACGTAATGAAAAGTCTTCCTGGGGTTCGACACATAACGAAAAGTCTTCCTGGGGTCCGACACGTAACGAAAAGTCTTCCTGGGGTCCGACACATAACGAAAAAGACATTACAGACAAAAAGAGACTTGACAATTTACATCCATTTAAAACGTTAACATTACAGACTTACAGTATATATATATTTAAAAAATTAACTAAAGACGCACACAAAAAAACTAAAAACAATACAACTAAAGAATTATAATGTGTGGGTGTGTGTGTGGAGTGTGTGTGTGTGTGTGTGTGTGTGGTGTGTGGAGTGTGTGTTGTGTGTGGAGTGTGTGTGTGTGGAGTTGTGTGTGTGGTGTGTGGTGTGTGTGTGTGTTGGTGTGTGTGTGGGTGTGTGTGTGTGGTGGTGTGGGTGTGTGTGTTGTTGTGTGTGTGTGGTGTGTGTGTGTGAGTGTGTGTGGGAGTTGTGTGTTGGGTGTTTGTTGGAGTGTGTGTGTGTGGTAGTGTGTTGTGTGTGGGTGGTGTGTGTGTGGAGTGGTGTGTGTGTGGTGTGTGTTGGGGTGTTGGGGTGCTGGGGTTGTGTGGGTGTGGTCTCCGTGGTGATTGTGTGTGTGTGTGTGTTGGTGTGGTGGGTGTGTTGGAGTGTGTGGTGGGGTGTGGTGTGTGTGTGGGTGGGGTTTGTGTGTGGGTGTGTGTGTGTTGTGTGATGTGGGTGTTGTGTGTGTTGTGTGTTGTGTGTGTGTGTGTGTGGTGGCTTGGTGTGGTGTGTGTGTGTGTGTGTGGTGTGTGTGTGGGTGTGTGTGTGTGTGGGTGAGTTGTGTGTGTGTGTGGGGTGTGTGTGGTGTGGTGGTGTGGGTGTGTGTGTGGAGTGTGTGTGGTGGGTGTGGAGTGTGTGTGTGTGGTGGTGTGGTGAGTGTGTGTGTGGAGTGTGTGTGTGTGTGGAGTGTGTGTGTGTGTGGTGTGTGTGAGTGTGTGTGTGGAGTGTGTGTGTGTGGAGTGTGTGTGTGTGTGGTGGTGTGTGAGTGTGTGTGTGTGTGGAGTGTGTGTGTGGTGTGTGTGAGTGTTTGTGTGTGTGGTGTGTGTGAGTGTGTGTGTTCGCATCTATCAGTTACACATACGTGTCAGTATATACACACAAAAATGAGGTCACATGGGGGAGAGGCGTTGTGCCATGAGGTGTTACCTACCCATGGAGCAGTCTGGTCCCATCCAGTTTGGGTCGCAGCTACAGATGCCCGTGTCGGGTATGAAGGCCCCGTGTCCGTGGCACTGGTCTGGGCACTGGGCCCCTGGATGCTCACAGAGCGGGCCGGCCCAGCCTGGCTTACAGTGGCACTGCCCACTCGCACAGGTACCATGGCCAGAGCAGCCAGGGTCCAGACAGTCCACTGGAACACAGAACAGCAAGAGAAATATGATATCACCACGCTCAAAAAACCTTAGTAGCAGCAGTAGCAGCAGTAGTGAATATACTGAAAGTAGTGAATATACTGAAAGACAGGAAGTAAATGATGGTCATATAATCAGAACTCTCTCTACTCCTCCATCACTGTCTCCCTCCCTCCCTTCTACCCCTCTCCTCTCTTCACAAAATTGAATGAATCAGATCCAGGGCAATTATTTAAATGCCGGATCAATAAAATTGATTCCATTCCCTTAATAAAGTTTCTGATGTATAAACCACTGCAGTCTCATCCTTTCTGAAACGTAATATGGCACTAAAGTAGAGACAATTGTGCGTGTGTGTGTGTGTGTGTGTGTGTGTTTGTCTCAGAGAGTGTGTGTGAACAAGTGTGTATGTGATAGGGATGAGCTCTCTTCTAGCACTGTACACCTTACCTTCCTCGCAGGTGTCGCCACGGTAACCTGCGGAGCATGTGCAGGAGCCCTCGGAGCAGGTGCCATGGCCATTACACTCTGGGTCAATGCACTGGCCCACGGAGACATCACACTCTGGACCCTTCCATCCGCTGTAGCAGATACACAAGCCCTTGTCATATTGGCCATTCCCACTGCAGAGGACTGGGCAGGCAGCTAGACAACATAGGAGAAATGAGAGACACAGCAAGTAAGACGAGGTGCAAGACGAGGGCTTTGCGTCATGCTCCATTTTTATATATGGATTAGTGAGTCATTTATGTTGAGATTGTCATATTGGACATGACTCAAAATAACTCATGGTGTCTCTTTTTATGAGTATCAAGATAGGGGTAAAATATTACATATTATAAACTGGGTGGTTCGAGCCCTGAATGCTGATTGGCTGAAAGCCGTGGTATATCAGACCGCATTTATTTTTACTTTTCTAATTACGTTGGTAACCAGTTTATATTGGCAATAAGGTACCTCGGAGGTTTGTGGTATATGGCCAAAATACTCCTGCACTGTCTTGGCTGCGCGCTTAGGGTCATTGTCCTGTTGGAAGGTGAACCGTTGCCATGAGCGCTCTGGAGCAGGTTTTCATCAAGGATCTCTCTGTACTTTACTCCGTTCATCTTTCCCTCAATTCTGACTAGTCTCCCAGTCCCTGCCGCTGAAAAACATCCCCACAGCATGATGCTGCCACCACCATGCTTCACCGTAGGGATGGTGCCAGGTTTTCTCCAGATGTGACGCTTGGCATTCAGGCAAAAGAGTTCAGTCTTGGTTTCATCAGACCAGAGAATCTTGTTTCTCATGGTCTGAGAGTCCTTTAGGTGCCTTTTGGCAAACTCCAAGTGGGCTGTCATGTGCCTTTTACTGAGGAGTGGCTTCCGTCTGGCCACTCTACCATAAAGGCCTGATTGGTGGAGTGCTGCAGAGATGGTTGTCCTTCTGGAAGGTTCTCCCATCTTCACAGAGGAACTCTGGAGCTCTATCAGAGTGACCATCGGGTTCTTGGTCACCTCCCTGACCAAGGCCCTTCTCCCCTGACTGCTCAGTTTGGCCAGGCAGCCAGCTCTAGGATGAGTCTTGGTGGTTCCAAACTTCTTCCATTTAAGAATGAGGGAGGCCACTGTGTTCTTGGGGACCTTCAATGCTGCAGAAATGTTTTGCTACCCTTCTCCAGATCTGTGCCTCGACACAATCCTGTCTCGGAGCTCTACGGACAATTCCTTCGATCTCATGGCTTGGTTTTTGCTTTGACATGCACTGTCAACTGTGGGACCTTATATAGACGGGTGTGTGCCTTTCCAAATAATGTCTAATCAATTGAATTTACCACAGGTGGACTCCAATCAAGTTGTAGAAACATCTCAAGGATGATCAATGGAAACAGGATGCACCTGAGCTCAATTTCGAGTCTCATAGCAAAGGGTCTGAATACTTATGTAAATAAGGTATTTCTGTTTTTTGGGGGAAAAAATCTAAAAATCTGTTTTCACTTTGTCATCATGGGGTAATGTGTATAGATTGATGAGGATTAAAAAATATATAATCCATTGTAGAATAAGGGTGTAACGTAACAAAATGTGGAAAAAGTCAAGGGGTCTGAATATTTTCAGAATGCACTGTCTACCATACCCCCGCTGGCCTTATTTCTTAAATATACCTATATAACACCTATAATATACCTATACAATACCTATAATATACCTATACAATACCTATAATATACCTATAATATACCTATACAATACCTATCATATACCTATACAATACCTATAATATACCTATACAATACCTATACAATACCTATAATATACCTATACAATACCTATACAATACCTATAATATACCTATACAATATCTATAATATACCTATACAATACCTATAATATACCTATAATATACCTATACAAAACCTATAATATACCTATCATATACCTATCATATACCTATACAATACCTATAATATACCTATACAATACCTATAATATACCTATACAAAACCTATAATATACCTATCATATACCTATCATATACCTATACAATACCTATAATATACCTATAATATACCTATAATATACCTATACAATACCTATAATATACTTGCTCCTGCTCCTATAATATACCCGCTCCTGCAGGTTCATGCTCTACAACATTCGGAGAGTACGACCCTGCCTTACACAGGAAGCGGCACAGGTCCTAATCCAGGCACTTGTCATCTCCCGTCTGGACTACTGCAACTCGCTGTTGGCTGGCCTCCCTGCCTGTGCCATTAAACCCCTACAACTCATCCAGAATGCCGCAGCCCGTCTGGTGTTCAACCTTCCCAAGTTCTCTCACGTCACCCCCCTCCTCCGCACACTCCACTGGCTTCCAGTTGAAGCTCGCATCCGCTACAAGACCATGGTGCTTGCCTATGGAGCAGTGAGGGGAACGGCACCTCTGTACCTTCAGGCTCTGATCAGTCCCTACACCCAAACGAGGGCATTGCGTTCATCCACCTCTGGCCTGCTGGCTCCCCTTCCTCTGCGGAAGCATAGCTCCCGCTCAGCCCAGTCAAAACTGTTCGCTGCTCTGGCACCCCAATGGTGGAACAAGCTCCCTCACGACGCCAGGACAGCGGAGTCACTCACCACCTTCCGGAGACATTTGAAACCCCACCTCTTTAAGGAATACCTGGGATAGGATAAAGTAATCCTTCTAACCCCCCCCCCCCCCCAAATTGTAAAGTGGTTATCCCACTGGCTATAGGGTGAACGCACCAATTTGTGAGTCGCTCTGGCTAAGAGCGTCTGCTAAATGACGTTAATGTGCCCTTGAGCAAGGCACTTAACCCTAATTGCTCCTGTAAGTCGCTCTGGATAAGAGCGTCTGCTAAATGACTAAAATGTAAATGTAAAATGATACCTATAATATACCTATAATATACCTATACAATACCTATAATATACCTATACAGAACCTATCATATACCTATAATATACCTATAATATACCTATACAGAACCTATCATATACCTATAATATACCTATAATATACCTATACAATACTTATAATATACCTATAATATACCTATACAATACCTATACAATACCTATAATATACCTATACAATACCTATAATATACCTATAATATACCTATACAATACCTATAATATACCTATAATATACCTATACAGAACCTATCATATACCTAATATACCTATAATATACCTATACAGAACCTATCATATACCTATAATATACCTATACAGAACCTATCATATTCCTATAATATACCTATCATATACCTATCATATACCTATTATATACCTATACAATACCTATAATATACCTATACAGAACCTATCATATACCTATAATATACCTATAATATACCTATAATATACCTATACAGAACCTATCATATACCTATAATATACCTATAATATACCTATAATATACCTATCATATACCTATACAGAACCTATCATATACCTATACAGAACCTATCATATACCTATAATATACCTATAATATACCTATAATATACCTATACAATACCTATAATATACCTATAATATACCTATAATATACCTATAATATACCTATACAATACCTATACAATACCTATAATATACCTATAATATACCTATACAAAACCTATAATATACCTATACAAACCAATACAACCTAGGTGATAACAAAGTACGTACCTTTGGCACAATCCATGCCATGGAATCCTGGGAAGCAGTGGCACACACCTGACATACACTCTCCGTTTCCATGGCAATTCTGCGGACATTCTTGCACTGAATCTAAGATTGAACAGAAGGGATTGAAACAGACAAGTTATTACTATAATCAAATATACAGTATATTAATATATTATTATTATAACCAAATATATATTATTATTTTCAAAAACGTAAATGTATTAATATATTATTATTAAAACCAAATATATATTAATATACTATTACTATAACCAAATATATATTAATATATATTAATGATGAAATATTACACAACAGAGAAGGATGTGATTGTTCCCTCTCATTTCACCTCCTCTCTTTGATCGCTCTCCAGTTTTGATTAGACAGACTCCTTCCCTCATCACCTCTTACCGCCCTACCGTTCTTAATTAGATACATGTAAATAATTAACAGTCATTCAAGTTTTACTAAAGGCTGAACCTGCTACCCTTTCTATAGCTAATGCAATAGTTAAAATAGAGTTTAGTGCAGAACGTCAAGTGTTTGATGGAAGAATGAATTTGGCCATTGTACTGTGTGAGCACCTCCTAGGGCCAAGTACTGCATGCCTCTGTTGAGATTCTGGCATTCTTATTACCATTGTTTATCTGTAAATATCCATTGTTTAGCTGTAAATATCCATTAGCAGAGAATCAATTAGCTAAGCTTTTCTAAAATAAATAAAAAATGCACTGCACATATAATTCAAAATGCCTCTTTGGCGTGACGGTCTAACACATAATTTAAATGATTCGGTATACTACAACTACTTAGCATACCCCAAATGTCCTCACACCCCTTCGTCCTCCCTCCACAGGCCCTGCCACAAGTGATAACCTCCCTAATTACACCAGTACTCATCCCCACTGCCGAGGTAAGTACAATTACTGTAATTTAATTGCTTCCATCACTCAGTGTCCCCATGGCAGTACGGCAGTGGCACGATATGCTCCACCACGATATGCTCCTGCCACTGTTTCGTGTCGTGTGTGCCTCCCCACGGACGACTAGAGGTTTACGGAAGCATTAAAAAGGCAAATGAACAATGAGCAGATTCCTATTCATTTACTAAGAAAGTCTACGGTACATCAATGTGTGTGTTTAGGCTGACCTGCACAGGCCTCTAGGGCAGAGTTAGGAGTTACAGTTGCCAAGCCAACACATCCATCTACGCCCTCTTCCTCCTCTCTGTCAGTCAAGGTCAAGCCCAGACCCTGTTCTGTTCTGTTCTGTTGGGCCTGTGTTTTTTCCTCAGTAGCATCCTCCTCAGACCAGGTTATCATTCCAACTGATCTCTAAATCAAAGACGTTGTGTCATGCTTTTACTGCAGCAGAGCCTGCCTGTGTTCCGTGTGGAGATAGTGTTTCTCTTTGCGGGAGCTCCAGAGAGTCATGAATACTGTGTTTTTTCCCTCTTGTTTGTTCTCAGCTGTTGAATGCTTGTCTACTGTAAAGGGAAAGCCAACTGTGTGACAGGAGCTGTGTACAGACGGAGAGGACTCCACAGGGATATATCTTTTATAACTCAATCTCTATCCTTTCCAACACTTTTATCAGTGCTCACTCCCAATATCAGTGTAAGCCTATCAGGCCAACAGGGATGCAATCCTGGAATGGTGCATTTGTAAAACTCACTCCGAGGTTTTACTTACTACCAGTATCCTAAATGTTCTCCCTTTACGAGGAGAACATAGAAGTGTAAAAAAAGCAAGTAAATAGAATAACAGCAACCACCTAGAGCCATGGTGCTGAAGGAGACAGACTCCTTGTCCTTGCCGTCGTTGTAGAAGGCCAGATGCCAGGTGCCAGGGTCCAGGTACTGAACAAAGATGGCCTCGTTCAGAACCACCGTGTGGATGCTGCGACGCTCCCGAGGAGACTCCACCACACTCCACTTCTCCTTCCCATCCAGACGCTCCATGTAGTCATACTGAACAGAGAGAACAGGGTTACTGAGGGAAAGAGGGAGGAACAACAGAGATAACAGGGTTAGTGAGGGAGAGAGGGAGGGACAACAGAGATAACTGTCACGATCGTCGAACATAGAAGAAGTGGACCAATGCGCAGCGTGATGATTGAACATACTTATTATTTTTAATACCACACGAACAAAACAACAAAACGATACGTGACGTCCTTGGTCACAGACACAAACCAAACGGAACAAGATCCCACAACACACTGTGGGAAACTGGTATGGTTCCCAATCAGAGACAACAAGCAACAGCTGATACACGTTGCCTCTGATTGAGAACCACACCGGCCAACATAGAAACACAAAAGCTAGATAATAAACCTAGAACACAAAACACATAGAAACAACACACCCTGGCTCAACAAAACAGAGTCCCAGAGCCAGGGCATGACAGTACCCCCCCCCCCCGAACAGGGGAGGGCCGGGTGGGCATTCCTCCTCGGAGGCGGTTCCGGCTCCGGGCATGACCCCCACTCCCTCTCTAACCCCCCAAAGCACCCCTGGTCCGGTCTGGCCCTGCTGGCCGGAGCTGGACTGAACACTGGTGGAGCGGATTGCTCTAGCTCCGGAGTGGAGCCGCTGACCGGTGCCGGACCAGGCACCGGTGGAACAGGCACGGGCTGTGCCGGACTGACGACGCGCACCACAGGCTTGGTGCAGGGAGCAGGGACGGGCCGGACCGAGCTGACGACGCGCACCATTGGCTTGGTGCGGGGAGCAGGGACGGGCCGAACCGGGCTGACGAAGCGCACCACTGGCTTGGTGTGGGGAGCAGGAACAGGCCGGACTGGGCTGACGACGCGCACCATTGGCTTGGTGCGGGGAGCAGGGACGGCCCGAACCGGGCTGACGAAGCGCACCACTGGCTTGGTGCGGGGAGCAGGAACAGGCCGGACTGGGCTAACGACGCGCACCACAGGCTTGGTGCGGGGAGCAGGGACGGGCCGGACTGGGCTGACGATGCGCACCACAGGCTTGGTGCGGGGAGCAGGAACAGGCCGAGCCGGGCTGGCGACGCGCACCGTAGGCTTGGTGCGAGTGGCAGGAACAGGCCGGGCCGAGCTGGCGACGCGCACCCTTGGCTTGGTGCGGGGAGCAGGAACAGGTCGGGCAGGGCTGGCGACGCGCACCACAGGCTTGGTGCGAGGGACAGGAACAAGCCGGACCGTACTGGGGACACACACCACTGGCCCTACGCAGGGATCAGGAACGGGCTGGACCGGACTGGCAACACACCCCAGTACCTCTCGCCGTGCCTCTACATCCTCCTTCCCCTTGGTGACCAGTGACTCCCGTAACCTGGCGGCCTCCTGCTGCCCCGTCGTCCACGGCGTGAGCCCCCCCCTAAAAATGTTCTGCCCGTCTCTCCTCCCCGTGGGCCAGGCCTCCATGGCTCTCGCCAGACTCTCGCTCCTCTGCTCCCAAGTCCAGCCTCTCTCCTCCTCCCGCGGCTTGACCCAGTCGAGGTTGATCTTCGTTAGAGTCCTCTCTGGCGTTGGCTCCTGGACACGCTGCTTGGTCCAGTTATGGTGGGATCTTCTGTCACGATCGCCGAACACAGAAGTGGACCAATGCGCAGCGTGATGAGTGAACATACTTATTTATTAATTCACCACACGAACAAAACAACAAAACGATACGTGACGTCCTTGGTCACAGACACAAACCAAACGGAACAAGATCCCACAACACACTGTGGGAAACAGGCTGCCTAAGTATGGTTCCCAATCAGAGACAACAAGCAACAGCTGATACACGTTGCCTCTGATTGAGAACCACACCGGCCAACATAGAAACACAAAAGCTAGATAATAAACCTAGAACACAAAACACATAGAAACAACACACCCTGGAGGTCAACAAAACAGAGTCCCAGACCAGGGCGTGCCAATAACAGGGGTAGTGGAGGGAGAGCGGGAGGGGACCAACGGAGATGAACAGGGTTAGTGAGGGCGAGCGGGAGGGACAACAGAGATAACAGGGTTAGTGCGGGAGGTAGGGACAACAGAGTAACAGGGGGGTTTTTAGCCTGAGGGAAGAGCGGGAGGGACAACAGAGATGAACCGGGTTAGTTGAGGGGAGAGAGGGAGGGGACAACAGAGATAACCGGGTTAGTGAGGGAGAGAGGGAGGGACAACAGAGATAACAGGGTTAGTGAGGGGAGAGAGGGGGACAACAGAGATAACAGGGTTAGTGAGGTTGAGATGAAGGGGACAACAGAGATAACAGGGTTAGTGAGGGAGAGAGGGAGGGGACAACAGAAACAGGGTTAGTGAGGGAGAGAGGGAGGGACAAACAGAGATAACAGGTTAGTGAGGGAGAGAGGGAGGACAACAGAGATAACAGGGTTAGTGAGGGAGAGCGGGAGGGACAACAGAGATAACAGGGTTAGTGAGGGAGAGAGGGGAGAGGGGGGGATAACAGAGATAACAGGGTTAGTGAGGGAGAGAGGGAGGGACAACAGAGATAACAGGGTTAGTGAGGGAGAGAGGGAGGGACAACAGATAACAGGGTTAGTGAGGGAGAGCGGGAGGGACAACAGAGATAACAGGGTTAGTGAGGGAGAGAGGGAGGAACAACAGAGATAACAGGGTTAGTGAGGGAGAGAGGGACAACAGAGATAACAGGGTTAGTGAGGGAGAGAGGGAGGTAGGGACAACAGAGATAACAGGGTTAGTGAGGGAGAGAGGGAGGGACAACAGAGATAACAGGGTTAGTGAGGGAGAGAGGGGGGACAACAGAGATAACAGGGTTAGTGAGGGAGAGAGGGGGGACAACAGAGATAACAGGGTTAGTGAGAGAGAGAGGGGGGACAACAGAGATAACAGGGTTAGTGAGGGAGAGAGGGAGGGATAACAGAGATAACAGGGTTAGTGAGGGAGAAAGAGAGGGAGGGACAACAGAGATAACAGGGTTAGTGAGGGAGAGAGGGGGGACAACAGAGATAACAGGGTTAGTGAGGGAGAGAGGGGGGACAACAGAGATAACAGGGTTAGTGAGGGAGAGAGGGAGGGACAACAGAGATAACAAGGTTAGTGAGAGAGACATGGAGGGACAACAGAGAGAACTGGGTTAGTGAGGGAGAGAGGGAGGGACAACAGAGATTAAAGGGTTAGTGAGGGAGAGAGGGAGGGACAACAGAGATAACAGGGTTAGTGAGGGAGAGAGGGAGGGATAACAGCGATAACAGGGTTAGTGAGAGAGAGAGAGAGGGAGGGACAACAGAGATAACAGGTTAGTGAGGGAGAGAGGGGGGGACAACAGAGATAACAGGGTTAGTGAGGGAGAGAGGGAGGGATAACAGAGATAACAGGGTTAGTGAGGGAGAAAGAGAGGGAGGGAAAAGAGAGATAACAGGGTTAGTGAGGGAGAGAGGGGAGAGGGGGGGATAACAGAGATAACAGGGTTATTGAGGGAGAGAGGTAGGGACAACAGAGATAACAGGGTTAGTGAGGGAGAGAGGAGGGGACAACAGAGATAACAGGGTTAGTGAGGTAGAGAGAGAGGGAGGGAAAAGAGAGATAACAGGGTTAGTGAGGGAAAGAGGGGGGACAACAGAGATAACAGGGTTAGTGAGGGAGAGAGGGAGGGACAACAGAGATAACAGGGTTAGTGAGGGAGAGAGGGAGGAACAACAGAGATAACAGGGTTAGTGAGGGAGAGAGGGAGGGACAACAGATAACAGGGTTAGTGAGGGAGAGAGGGAGGGACAACAGAGATAACAGGGTTAGTGAGGGAGAGAGGGAGGAACAACAGAGATAACAGGGTTAGTGAGGGAGAGAGGGAGGGACAACAGATAACAGGGTTAGTGAGGGAGAGAGGGAGGGACAACAGAGATAACAGGGTTAGTGAGGGAGAGAGGGAGGGACAACAGAGATAACAGGGTTAGTGAGGGAGAGAGGGAGGAACAACAGAGATAACAGGGTTAGTGAGGGAGAGAGGGAGGGACAACAGATAACAGGGTTAGTGAGGGAGTGAGGGAGGGACAACAGAGATAACAGGGTTAGTGAGGGAGAGAGGGAGGAACAACAGAGATAACAGGGTTAGTGAGGGAGAGAGGGAGGAACAACAGAGATAACAGGGTTAGTGAGGGAGAGAGGGAGGGATAACAGATAACAGGGTTAGTGAGGGAGAGAGGGAGGGACAACAGAGATAACAGGGTTAGTGAGGGAGAGAGGGAGGGACAACAGATAACAGGGTTAGTGAGGGAGAGAGGGAGGGATAACAGATAACAGGGTTAGTTGATGGCTACCTGTGCGTGGGAGGGGGGCAGGCCCTTACGGATGTACACCCCAAAGAGTGCGTCTTTTCCCAGGGAGATGTTGAACTTGAGGAACAGGGGCTGGCGGAGGTGTAGTAAGGAGCGCCAGAACACTCCTGGGGGGACGTCCTGGCTCATCCGCCGACCTACCTCCAGCTCACCTGTACTTATACTACTGTTCCTATACACCCATGGTCCTGAGAGATGGAGGGAGGGAGGGAGAGGGAGGGAGGAGGGAGGGAGGGAGGGAGGGAGGGAGGGAGGGAGGAGAGAGGGAGGGTGGGAGAGGGAGGGTGGGGGGAGGGAGAGAGGGAGGGGGGGGGGAGGAGCAGAGGAGAGAGGGAGGGAGAGAGGGAGAGAGAGAGGGTTGGGGGAGGGAGGGTGGGGGGAGGGAGAGAGGGAGAGAGAGAGAGAGAGAGAGAGGGAGGGTGGGGGCGGAGGGGGAGGGAGGGAGGGAGGGAGGGAGGAGGAGGGAGGAGGGAAGAGGGTGGGGGAGGGAGAGACGGAGGGTGGGGGGAGGAGAGAGGGAGGGAGGAGGGAGGGAGGGATAGGAGAGAGAGGGAGAGGAGGGATGAAGAGAGAGGAGAGAGAGGAGAGAGGAGGAGGAGAGAGGAGAGAGAGAGAGAGAGAGGTTAGACATAACATCCAAGGTAAAGGTCTCTATTGACAGAACACATCTGCTGTGATAAAACCAAGTAGAAAGTCAACGTCTCCAGCTTATGGAGATGCAATGTAAATATGTGTGTTTCATAGCAGGAAAAACCAACACAGGGATGCTGTTTTGTCATACAAGGTTTTTAGTTATGACACTAATAATCATCGTACACTGTAAAAGGCTTATAGATTAAAGTTTCCATAGCAATACTATAGGATGTAGCCTATAGTATTGTACCTATGTACCCTATGGGGACAGTGAGGAACTAAAGATCTGCTACCATTCTTCTCCTCCCTCGGAGAGGGGTAGGACAATATTCCCCAGACCTGTTGGTCATGCAACCCTCATGGGACCGACAGTAGTGAAGGCTCTGTAAATCACCATAGTCCACAATCATTTGTAGTGCAACATATCTGCCCTTAAAAAACACTTGAGAAATTGCTGCAAGTGTTGCTATCCCACTGTGGTTTTGAGTAGTTAACCCAAAATAATGTTATATTTTCCTAGCTGAGAAACCTCTGGCTGCATTAAAAATAGATAAGGGAGACGAAAGAGAGAGAGAAGAAGGGAGATACAAAGGGAGAGAGAGAGAGAGCGAGACGCGGTCCTGGGTAGCGATGTGTTCCTCCGACAGTATTAAGGAAGGGGTGTTATATATATATGCAGATCTGCAGTGGAACGCCAGAGTCCTGACAGTGACGGTCACAGTCACAGCAGCATCACATTAACCACAATGCTCTGGCTGGCCTCCAGAACAGTCTTAGAGCTCCCTCTCCGTGTCTGTACTGCAGAGATCACCTCACCTCATGTAGACACCAGGATCCAAGCCCCAGAATTACGGAGGCATCAACAGTCTAGTATGAGGTCCGCCACAACACAGTCTTATGTAAAACTGTTGCCAGTGCTGCCAAACCCCGGAGAGCCCAACAGGACTGCTGTATCTCCCAGTGAAGAAGGGTTTGGTGCCATTCCCAACACATGACAGATGTGCTCTCACTCATATCTTGTCCTTTCCCACAACCTTCTCTAATGACATGAAGCCCGGGCAAATTCAAAAACGCTCAATTTCAGCATCTGACTTGAACAAACTAGCTTGGCCCAGACGGGCAGTGTGCGTCTGTGTGTCGGCTCATGAGACAGCCCGTGGTTGGCGGCTCCTCAGAGCCACTCCAGAGGACCTCCATCAAAGCCAACGCTTGGAAAAACACTTCAGAGAGTGATTTCATAGCACCCATCCACCCACACTACGCCTCCTCTCGCTGGATTACACGGTGTTGTTACAGTCCTCCTGAATTAAGACGGCCAGAGAATTCCACAGACCGAAGGGAGTGCTATGGTTTTAACAGAAATCAAACAAATGTGCATTGGTATGTGGGAGGAATTACTAAGGATTTATCTGAGGGCTTGTTTTCTAATGTGTTATTAGTTAGCAGGTAAAATACGGCATTACGGCACTACGGTGGACAGACGGTGAGCCTTGTGGCATCTTTTGATTAGGCGCCGACTGCAAACGTCAAACCACAAGGTAAATAATCTGAGTTCTAATGCAATTGGCAACGCTCCTTTAATAGAACACGTGTAAGCTCTGTTGATGTGATTCCTATTCTAGAAGAGTTATGCACCAGGCAGGGTAAGCTCCACTATAGTTCAAACAGGAGAACTAGTTGTAATTTGTTCACTAACGAATGAAAGCCAAGCTCTTCTTGCTTTTCTCTGTTTGTTACATTAGCAGCTTGTACATTTCTACTACATGCTACCTTCCATTCATAATCTAGCCACCAGACCAGTATATTCTGCAGGCCTCACTAGTTGTTAGAGCCAGAGTCTCCAGTCATCCATGCAGCCAGAGTCACCCCGCTCCTCCGCACACTCCACTGGCTTCCAGTTGAAGCTCGCTTCTGCTACAAGACCATGGTGCTTGCCTACGGAGCTGTGAGGGGAACACCTCCGTACCTTCAGGCTCTGATCAGTCCCTACACCCAAACGAGGGCATTGCGTTCATCCACCTCTGGCCTGCTGGCCCCCCTACCTCTGCGGAAGCACAGTTCCCGCTCAGCCCAGTCAAAACTGTTCGCTGCTCTGGCACCCCAATGGTGGAACAAGCTCCCTCACGACGCCTGGACAGCGGAGTCACTCACCACCTTCCGGAGACACTTGAAACCCCACCTCTTTAAGGAATAACTGGGATAGGATAAAGTAATCCCTTACCCCACCCCACCCCCCCAAAAAATAATAAAAAATAATACTATTGTAAAGTGGTTGTCCCACTGGCTATCATAAGGTGAAATCACCCATTTGTAAGTCGCTCTGGATAAGAGTGTCTGCTAAATGACTTAAATGTAAAATGTAAATGTGTAGCGGAGGGTTTGAGCACCTTGGCCAGGGGCGGTAGTCATGCAGACTCAGGCTGTTCCTACCTCTGCCTCCGGAGGGCGCTGTTGCCACGTCGCTCCTGCCCGGTACCTCAGTGCTCAGGCCGTTGTTGATCAGGTGACCATCAGCCGGTTTCAACTGCCAGTTGAGCCCTAGCATGTTTAGAGCTGAGAGATAGAGAAATAAAGAGAGAGAGAGAGAGAGAGAGAGAGAGAGAGAGAGAGGAGAGAGAGAGAGAGAGAGAGAGAGAGAGAGAGAGAGAGAGAGAGAGAGAGAGACTGAAAAAAATAATATGGAATCAGCACAATACCACAGTGTGAATACTGTAGTGTAAATACAGTACCTGTAATACAGGCTGGGTTGGGTTTGGGCTGGGTTGGGGACAGTGGATAAGCAGCTTGCCCACACAGGTGGACTGTAAGCCCACAGCCCAGGAGAATGGTTTATTCAGCCTATCACTTATTATTACTTAATCACAATGGCCTTTAGTTAAATCACTTCATCCCAATGCTCAGGTGAAAGCTCTCTAAACAGCCATGACAGAGTTGGTCTCCATACCTGCCTGAAATCTGGATAAAGAAAGACAAATATGGCTGAATCAGAAAAGAAATTGGACATGACTCAAAATAATATCTTGCTATGAATTCAGGGACAAAGTGACATAAGCAAAGATGACTATTCTTCTTGAGTTAATCAGCTCTTACATTTCTTGCTAGAAAAAGACCTTGGATTAATATCTGAATTACATTTCATCTTCACCTCAGAACTGAAATTACTGCTGCCAATTACCTTTTCCACAGAGTGAAACCCACAGAGGGGAACATCCATTTCAGATATATCAAAAAATCTGAAAATGTGCTATTAGGTTTGGGACAGGGATGTAATCTGCTTGAAGCACACAACAACCTCACAATAACAAGTCCGCCAGATCAATGCTCTCTATGATAATAGTCAGAGCAGTAAGGCCATCTACAATAGATTACAATGTCTTCAACGGTCTAGTAACAGGGGCACAAATGAAATGTACTCTACTAACGGCTACGGGGGGAGGGGCTACGGGGGGAGGGGCCGAGGGGGGAGGGGATACGGAGGGGAGGGGCTACGGGGGGAGGGGCCGAGGGGGGAGGGGCCGAGGGGGTCTTAATATTCTACCCAGTCCGTTTTACCCTAGTCCACATGGATGCACCCCAACATACACACTCACATTGGCATGTGCAGTACGGATTCATAAAGGCCACACACACACACACACCACACACACACACACACACACACACACACACACACACACACCACACACACACACACACCACACCACACACCACACACACACACACACACACACCAAGAAGAAGAAGCAGACGTCTGCATTATCAGTGTTAATGACGTCCCTTTATCCTTGCCCTACTCTCCCACCTAAATCTCATCCTCGGAAAATCGATGGCTTTCCACTCAACTCCCCCCCCCCTCACACACTGAGGACTGAGGCAGACAGTAGGCTGAGGAGAATGAATGGAGCAGGATGGACCCCTCAGTATTACTCCTGTCTGAGCTGCTCAGCTTGATGTTGGGAGGAAGGCAGGCTGGGAGTCACTGTGCTCCTGCGCCACGCCACTGTCAGCCTCTCTCTATTGCCACAGAGGGGCAGAGATGGAGCAGCCCTTTTCACTACCTCCACTTACTCTCTCTCTATCTGCTTATGTGTCACAATCCCTCTCCTTCAATCTACCTCCCTCTCCTTCAATCTACCTCCCTGTCCTTCAATCTACCTCCATCTCCTTTGATCTACCTCCCTGTCCTTTTATCTACCTCCCTGTCCTTCAATCTACCTCCCTGTCCTTCAATCTACCTCCCTGTCCTTCAATCTACCTCCCTGTCCTTCAATCTACCTCCATCTCCTTCATTAATCTCTCTCTGCAGCCTTTCATTTCTCTCCCAGCAGTAACTAGGCCATAGACTTTACTATCGTGACATTGTGCTTCCTGATGCTGATCCTAGCACAGATCAAAATCAGGGACAAAGAAGTCCAGAAACCTTATCAATAACAAGCACTAATGTGACACAATTCACTGCATTTACGTTGACGCTGGCAAGAAACGTGTGTCTTTCTACTCAGACCGTAGAGGGCGCCCTTGCTGTAAACCATTGCAGAGTTCAAAGGGGAATCAATGATAAGGACATGGTCTATGCATAGAGCCATACTGTATATCAGCTCGGTATTGCAGGGAGACACACCTCTATACACTACTCCACAGCAATGACACTACCTTCCTCAACCTAGGATGGTTCCTAGAGACAAATGTAGTCAATTGTTAATTACATTCATATCATTCAACAACAATCAAATGGTGCCATTCTAAAAATAGCTCCTCAAGGCATGCACACAGTCATTCTACATTTAAACTAAAGCAGCTATAGTTATGCACACTGTAAATGCACCCATGGGTATGAGCGTAGAAAAAGCATTGGAGAAAAGCAAGCACTTTACATGCATTATCTCAAAAGACAAGAGCTCCAGGCGGCGCTGCTTACTGCTTGCTGTCTGTACAACTCCCAAAGTTTACCCAGATAATAGAAGCTGGCCAATGAGGTGAAGAGACAGTGAAAATAAACCTAAATTACAGATGAGCCTCTCAAGCTGTTGGTCATCCTTAGTTAATTCTGACCAACGACCCAAATTCTACAGAGCCATTAATAAATCCTTGCCTTCGGGTTCCCATCACTCCCTAGTGTCTTACAGTACAACACAGTCTTCTGTAGGCCCTGTCTAAAGACACATGTAAAGCTATGTAAGCTAGATAATCAGTGGTTCATCTGTCTGTCAATGAACCAGGCAGGTAGCCTAGTGGTTAAGAGCGTTGGGCCTGTAACCGAAAGGTTTCTGGTTTGAATCTCTGAGCCGACTAGGTGGAAAAATCTGTCGATGTGCCCTTGAGCAAGGTACTTAGCCCTAATTGCTCCTGTAAGTCGTCTGCTAAATGACTAAAACGTAAATGACAAGTTGCTTCAATGCACTTAAGACTGCTTAATCACATCTGTGGGAGATCTTCCACAAACTCATTTTCGGCCCGCAATAAACATGAATAATTAACTGAAAATGTGTTAGATGAGACATTCATGAGATGGCGCATAACTCTTTATGTTTAATTCACCTCCTCAAAGTGATAATATTACCCACAGAAGGACTCATCAGACCGATGACTGTGAGTCCCCCGTCTCTGTCTCTACCGCAGGAGCAGGACGGCCCGACTTCACATCACAACACCCTGTTCTGCTCTGTACAGCCAGGCAGACACTCATCAATGAACAGCACAGAGAGATACCCCGGTGGACTAATGCAAGTCTAACGGTTTATTATTGGCTACGACTCACTTCATTTGGGTTCCTTATTAAAACTCAATGTGACATTCCAAGATATAGAATGTTGAAATAAATTGGTCTGGGGAGAAGACAGATGGGGACAGACTGGCTGTGGCTGAAGCATAGAGGAGTAACTACTCACAATAACACAAAGAATGGCTTTCAGGCCTATGTACTATTAACACGCCCATGTGAGCTGTTCACAGTGAAGAGAGAGAGACTGCTCCCTCCAGGGATTTCTCCTGCAAACACAAACACAGCTAAGTGAAGGCTTTGAACTACAGCTACAGTGGAGCTGGGTGGACCGGCTGAGGAGAGCAGAGGAAAGCAGGCCGTGCTGTGGTGGAGATGGGTGGACCGGCTGAGGAGAGCAGAGGAAAGCAGGCCGTGCTGTGGTGGAGATGGGCCATGGTGTGGTGGAGGAGAGGAGCTCAGGCCCCGCTCGCTTGGTCCCCCAGCAGGACCAGCCTCTGATGAACTGGTAATGAAAACAGCCGTGGGCCTCACTCCCTGGAGGCCACACCTGACTGATGCAACTAAGCGGCAGTTCACAGCAATCTGAGGGCAGGATTACAGTTAGTTCAAAGCAGGTGTGCAGTCTGTGCACCACCACCCCACCCCCACCACCACCACCACCCCCACAACCACCCCACCACCACAACCACCCCACCACTACCACACCCACCACCACCCCACCACACCCACCACACCACCACACCACCACCCCACCCCCACTACCACCACCCCACCACCATCATCCCCCTCTCTGCAGACCCACGGCATCTAAAAATAATTAGCACCACGCCACCACCACCACCCGCCTCCATCTGCCTGCACCTCCACTCAGAGAGGGAGAGATGTGGGTGGGAAGAGCAGCATGACGACATGGATCCAATCTATTCCTGCTTGTCAATCTATTCCTGCTTGTCAATCTATTCCTGCTAGTCAATCTATTCCTGCTTGTCAATTTATTCCTGCTTGTCAATCTATTCCTGTTTGTCAATCTATTCCTGCTTGTCAGAATCCCTGAGTGCATCATCAGACCCCCCAGACACCTTTTATTTTCTTCTTTGATTACAACCCTCGTGTTTCTCTCTTACTCCTTCACTCCAAGTGGACCATGTCACCGTCCTGCCCATGTGCAAGTGCTGAGGAGACGATTTGTGTGACAGCGTTATATACCCCTATCTGTGTCGTGAAGGAGAGCAAGGGAGAATATCCACATACCCTACATGACCAAATGTATGTGGACACCTGCTTGTCAAACATCTCTTTCCAAAATCATGGGCATTAATATGGAGTTGGTCCCCCCTTTGCTGCTATAACAGCCTCCACTCTTCTGGGAAGGCTTTCCACTAGATGTCGGAACGTTGCTGCGGGGACTTGCTTCCATTCAGCCACAAGAGCGTTAGTGAGGTCGGGCACTGATGTTGGGCGATTAGGCCTGGCTCGCAGTCGGCGTTCCAATTCATCCCAAAGGTGTTCGATGGGGTTGAGGTCAGGGCTCTGTGCAGGCCAGTCAAGATCTTCCACACCAATCTTGACAAACCATTTCTGTATGGACCTCGCTTTGTGCATGGGGGCATTGTTATGCTGAAACAGGAAAGGGCCTTCCCCAAACTGTTGCCATAAAGTTGGAAGCACAGAATCGTCTAGAATGTCATTGTATGTTGTAGCATTAAGATTTCCCTTCACTGAAACTAAGGGGCCTAGCCCGAACCATGAAAAACAGCCCCAGACCATTATTCCTCCTCCCACAAACTTTATAGTTGGCACTATGCATTGAGGCAGGTAGCGTTCTCCTGGCATCCACCAAACCCAGATTAGTCCGTCAGACTGCCAGATGGTGAAGCATGATTCAACACTCCAGAGAATGCGTTTCCACTGCTCCAGAGTCCAATGGTGACAAGCTTTACACCACTCCAGCTGACGCTTGGCATTGTGCATGGTGACCTTAGGCTTGTGTGCAGTTGCTCGGCCATGGAAACCCTTTTCATGAAGCTCCCGACTAATGGATCTTGTGCTGACGTTGCTTCCAGAGGTAGTTTGGAACTCGGTATTGAGTGTTGCAACCGAGGACAGATTATTTTTAGCACTCGGCGGTCCCATTCTATGAGCTTGTGTAGCCTACCACTTCGCAGCTGAGCCATTGTTGCTCGTAGACGTTTCCACTTCACAATAACAGCACTTACAGTTGACCGGGGCAGATCTAGCAGGGCAGAAATTTGACGAACTGACTTGTTGGAAAGGTGGCATCCTATGACGGTGCCACATTGAAAGTCACTGAGCTCTTCAGTACGGGCCATTTTACTGCCAATGTTTGTCTATGGAGATTGCACGGCTGTGTGCTCGGTTATATACACCTGTCAGCAACGGGTGTGGCTGAAATAGCCGAATCCATTCATTTGAAGGGGTGTCCACATACTTTTGTATATATAGTGTATCTGGAGGCAGCATCCTTCATACTCCCCACAGCCGCAGCTCTGTTCAGCTCATGCTGTATGCATCTAACCGGCCAAGTTCACCGATGGTGGCTGGCCATTCCAGCAACATTGCCAGCGCTCTCTTCTCTGAAACAGAAATAGACCTGAATGTACTATTACTATGCAGGCTGGCATTTGTTTACAGGGAAAAGTAAAATATGAAATGGAAATAAAGTTGAATTTTGTAATTTCTATATGCCAGAGGCAGAATTTCGAGTGTCAGCTTGAGTTACTGGCGAGAGGCCAGGAGTCAGGGTTGTAGATTGGTTTTGCTCTAGTTTAAACTGTGTGCGTTGTATTGAATCTTTAACACATCCATGGCAGGCTGCATCAGGAGAATTTTCACTCAAAGCTTCGTCTCCGAAGCAGGAAGGGAAGGAATTTCAGGTTGGGCCTCTCTCCGGTGTACACCGGATTCATTTTGGACATGACTCTAAAAAGTTTTGTAGGCATGAAGGTCAGAGTCTCCAAAGGCTTGGGGATATGTCGTGTTTTCCAGGGCAGAGATTAAAATAAACACAGTGGCTGTGTTGATGGAGCGCCGGCTGCACCCAGAGAGGACAGCCACGCAGGGCAGAGGACGTCTGCCACCTGTCTCACATGTTTTATCACATGGCCTGTCATTAATGATGACAACTGACAGCATTTAGAACACACACATGAAGGTGACCCCCCCGCCAACCCTGGCCCTTCACTGATACCCGAGAGAGGCGGTGAAGAATGCGTGTGTGGGTGCGCGCCTGCTACTACTATCAGTTGGTTATACTCTAAACATACTCAGTAGAATCCTATTGTATCAGTCATTAGGTTGATTTCAGTGTATCAGTCATTAGGTTGATTTCAGTGTATCAGTCATTAGGTTGATTTCAGTGTATCAGTCATTAGGTTGATTTCAGTGTATCAGTCATTAGGTTGATTTCAGTGTATCAGTCATTAGGTTGATTTCAGTGTATCAATCATTAGGTTGATTTCAGTGTATCAATCATTAGGTTGATTTCAGTGCATCAGTCATTAGGTTGATTTCAGTGTATCAGTCATTAGGTTGATTTCAGTGCATCAGTCATTAGGTTGATTTCAGTGTATCAATCATTAGGTTGATTTCAGTGTATCAGTCATTAGGTTGATTTCAGTGCATCAGTCATTAGGTTGATTTCAGTGCATCAGTCATTAGGTTGATTTCAGTGTATCAGTCATTAGGTTGATTTCAGTGTATCAGTCATTAGGTTGATTTCAGTGTATCAGTCATTAGGTTGATTTCAGTGTATCAGTCATTAGGTTGATTTCAGTGTATCAGTCATTAGGTTGATTTCAGTGTATCAGTCATTAGGTTGATTTCAGTGTATCAGTCATTAGGTTGATTTCAGTGTATCAGTCATTAGGTTGATTTCAGTGTATCAGTCATTAGGTTGATTTCAGTGTATCAGTCATTAGGTTGATTTCAGTGTATCAGTCATTAGGTTGATTTCAGTGCATCAGTCATTAGGTTGAGTTCAGTGCATCAGTCATTAGGTTGAGTTCAGTGCATCAGTCATTAGGTTGATTTCAGTGCATCAGTCATTAGGTTGATTTCAGTGTCAATCACCATCTCTCTTGGTTTCATGTCATGCCTAATGAAAGCCCCCTGCATCAGCAGCTCCAGGTTCAGTCCAGCTAACCTAACTAGGAGCAGAACCAATCAAAAGGCAGTGTACTCATCATTTATCTCGCTCTCCTTTCATCCTCTTTCACCAATTAGTGTAAATTAGGCCCGCTGTCCTTTAAGGAGAAGGAGCGCGAGAGAGAGAGAGAGAGGCAGTAGCAAAACTCCCCACCTAGCATGATGATGCCAAATCTGCTCAGCTTGCATCAGGCCTGCTCTACTCATCTGTGTCCTAGCAACTGTAAACCTCTCAGCCCCTTGGATACGGTAGGTCTGTGAACGAGTGTGTTTCCAAACAAAACACAAGGAATATTAAAAAAAAAAAATACATTTGTGCCAGATGAGTATATCCTTAGAGGAATGGACGAGCGGAGAGATACGAGAACAACTGATGGGTGTCAGTCCTTCATGATGCAACAACAGCCCTGTGATTGGCTCATTAAGAGGCATGCCATGCACACTCAAAAGGAGCCAATCAACTCTTTCAGGGCATATTCTTTGTCTTGAGTCTCTGAGAGAAGCTCTCTTCAGATACTAATTATGGACTTCAAAAAAATGGACAGACAGTATAATATTTTGAAAGAGGGGAACAGAAATAGCCTATATTTGCCTGACTGCTGCGTTTCCAAATGCATTAGTGCAGATCTCCCAGGAACAGTCAGGGCCTCCCTCTCTCAGTGGAATCTGTGTCTGTGTCTGCAGTGAAGAGCTCAGTGGTAGCGGCCCAGTTTTGTTTGCTTGTAAAAAGCCATGGCCACATTCCTTTCTGCACGCACAGGGGTCGGTTCTGCTCAGAGGTCCGGCCCGCAGAGTATTGGCATGGCTCGGGGGCTGGATCAGAACCGCAGAGCCCTTACCGCTCTGCCTGCTGAGTGGTGGCCTTGCCTCCCTCGGTGTGCCTGAGTGCCACACCATGCGAACATAATCCCACAGGTAATGGGGGAGTTTCACCACTGCACACACACACAGCCAGCCTCCACCCACGGCTGCGCAAAGTCAATGAGCTCTCCCTCTCTCCCTCCCTCTCCTCCCTCCCTCCCTCTCCCTCCCTCCCTCCCTCCCCTCCCCCTCCCTCCCTCCCTCCCTCCCTCCCTCCCTCTCTCTCTCTCCCTCCCTCCCTCCCTCGAGTGTGTCTTCAGCTTTGAAAAGGACAAGCGTGTCAACGGAATCTCACAGCGAATAAATATCTCCACAAACATTGCAATTCCAAACAGTGAAGCCCTATAAGAAGGCTGAGGTCTAAATAAAACCACACTACCGCATAGCCTTGGCCACCACTAAAACCACACTACCGCATAGCCTTGGCCACCACAACTCTCTATTCCTGCCACACAGAGCCCTTAATACAGCACATTCAGCCAGCTCTCAATACCACTACAGTCCCCCGTAGAGAAACTGGCACCCGGTACATAGTATCTGTGTGTAGATATTCCTCCATCATTCCTCCACACAGAGATTGGCCTTTAGTTGTTATTATGTGGCCACAGTAAGGCTCTTGATCGGCTCATCAAAGCCCCTTTGAGGTTTTTAACTCTCATTTTCCCAGCCTGTGCCACTCCTGCTCCCTCTCTCTCTTCCTCTCCACGGCTAGCGCTATAGGCCTCGGTATCGACCGTGTCCACAGTCCTCCGAGGAGCATGGCTTGGGGAGCCGTGCTCCTCTCCTCTCTCAGCCTGGTGTGTGGAACTAACAACACAGCTCACTGCACCCCTGCAGTGCTTGCGATGACTCACGATCAGCATGTCAGACCTGAACACTGCCTGAGACAACTCATTCTGACTGTAAATCGTTACCTCACAAAACAAAATGCGAATGGTCAATATTGTGTGATGAAACCGATGCTGGAGTATGGCTAGAGTAGGCTGAGTGTTCATATTGCCTTTTCTTTCCAAGTACTTCATCTGGGTCATACATGAATAAATATTACATTTTATAATAACATTTACATTTACATTTACATCATTTAGCATACGCTCTTATCCAGAGCGACTTACAAATTGGTGCAACCAACATAATATGCAACCAGGCCCGTATTGATCCATTGTATGTCAAATGCCAAGCTAATTATGATATATGTGCATGCTTTTAACAATTGTTTTGCCCTGTCAAGTATTTATGCATTTTTATATCATTAGAGAGATAGGCCTACAGTTTGCCAGTCAACCATACCCTTGACAATAATATTTTCAGTTGGCCATATTCTCAGTTCATTCTCAAACAGGTGAAATGAGCCAAGCCAATCTGATAGCCGATCAGTGGTGTAAAGTACTTAAGAAAAAATACTTTAAAGTATTAGCTCAGTTGGTAGTGCATGGTGCTTGCAATGCCAGGGTTGCGGGTTCAATTCCCACAGGGTACCATTATGAAAATGTATGCATTCACTAACTGTAAGTTGCTCTGGATAAGAGTGTCTGCTAAATGACTAAAATGTTTTAGTAAATGTACTTCAGTCGTTTTTTGGGGTCTCTATACTTTAGACAACTTTTACTCCACTACATTCCTAAAGAAAATATGTACTTTTTACTCCCATACATTTTCCCTGACACCAAAAAGTACTCGGTACATTTTGAATGCTCAGGCAGGACAGTCCAATTCACGCACCTATCAATAATAAAGCATTGGCATCCCAGAATAGATGGATGCAGTTCAATGCATGATTAATATAATTCACCAATACATTTCTTGGTAGTCCAAAAATATTGCTATCAGGTTGTAAATCACAGCTGGCCTGGGACATTGTTTGCTGCCTCCACCCATTAGGGATGCACTGTTTCAGTTTCAGTGACTCAATATTTTTGACAAAAACTGACAAATATAACTAAGGCTGGGAATGTCAATGCAATCAAACTAGCGAGGGCAATGATCACAAGTCAGTCATAACGTGGGTAATAGGTAGCGTATCATTAGCGTTAATTTCTGTAGCTATTTATTTAGCAAGTTAAAAACACGCCGCCTAATGTTAGCTAGCTAGCTGCTGAGAGGATGTCATGTCATTGGAGGAGTGGGTAAGTGACCGACTTTCGTTTTTTTCGGTGGCTACAGTTAGAGATGCAGGTGTCATTCGGTTAGCTAGCAAGAAATGTGAATCGCTGTTATCCAGTCAGCATATCTCTTGCGTTCTTAAGTTCACTCTGGCTATCTACTCCGATTTCAGAGCACTCTCATCCGAGTGTGCCAGACCGCAGAATAACTGATGAATTTACGAACACGCAACACCCGCTGAATATGACCGGTGTCAGTAAACGTTAAAAAGTTATTGAATTGTTGCCAGCAGCACAGTTAGTCACTAACGCTCTAGATAACATGTAAACAGTCTAACCAGCTCTGCTAGGGCGATTACAATGGTCAGAGTGAGGTGTTCTCTCATTTGTGTCTAGAAAGCTAGCCAACTTTAGCCAGTTAGCTTGGGTGCTTGACTGCCGTTGTGAGGAACGCTCAGATCAACCCTACTCCTCGGCAAGAGCGTCCATGTCAATAGTGCAGTGTACGCTCTGACTTGAGAGCGAAACGCTCAGAATTTACGAACAGACAATCTGACAACGCTCTGAATTTACGAACGACCCAGAGCGCACTCTGACACACTGGAGGCAATTTACGAATGCACCTTTAGTTGTCAATCAAATGTATTTGGCATTGATCAAATCGGCGGGCAGGCAAGTTCACATTCAGTTGTCAAAATGTGGTTTGGGACGAGCATGTGTTGACAGGCAAACTGCAGAATGACGAGCAGGCTACTATTCCCCATCGTTAATCAGTGTAATTTTGATGGCCAACTAGCTTAGCAGAAAAAGTTTGAGAGGGTCTATTTAATGTTCCCTCGTTAGATTTTAGCTCATCTCGCTCTGGCTAGCATTAGTTGTTGATCTTAATGTTGTTGATGTGCATAACTGAGGGAGAGAGAGCCTACCTGTTCATGGTTGTTTTGTTTGATCAATAGGGCTGTAAAGTTCCCAAATGTAAGAGGACTCCATTCAGGTGTATTTTGTGGCTTTTGGCGAATGGGTTCGTTCTAAAGATCTAAAGTCACGCTGTTTCTACTGCCTGTAAACACACAGTCCAGTTCAAAGTCAATGATGACAGGCCCGTGTTGCAAATGGCTTATTTGCATAAAGGCCTACTGTAGCTCTGATTGGCTATGGCGTTCATGGAGGAGACAGATGTTTTTGAGGTTTTATTTACTGCAGTGTCTATTAATTGTCCAAAAGCACAGCCGCTTTTCCACTCTATATTACTATAGAATTTTCACAAATGCCTTACTCTATGTCATTCCCAAACATTCTATGCATTTATGAAAACGTGAAAATGACCATATCTACTGTAAGGGTTGTGGGTTCGTTTCCCACAGGGGGCCAGTATGAAAATGTATGCACTCACTAACTGTAAGACGCTCTGGATAAGAGCGTCTGCTAAATGACAAAAAAAAGTGCTTGCTTGTAAGAAAATGTAAAAAAAAAATGTCATATTGTTCCTGGGGGTGTATTTGAACAGATTTTAATAAGATTTCATGTCGCTAAAACGCTGTCATTTCCACTTTAATACTTTTATGAAAATTGAGTACTTTTTCCACCACTCTACTTAAGTAGATTTAAAACCAGATACTTTTAGACTTTTACTCAAATAGCATTTTTCTGGGTGACTTTTACCTGAGTCATTTTCTATGAATGTATCTTTACTTTTACTCAAGTAGGACTTTTCCACCACTGCAGAAGATAGCATATCACTATAACAAGGGGGCCTACTGTACTGTACTGTATTGTATTGTACTGTACTGTACTGTGTTGTACTGTACTGTACTGTATAGTATTGTATTGTATTGTACTGTACTGTACTGTACTGTATTGTACTGTACTGTACTGTATTGTACTGTATTGTATTGTATTGTACTGTATTGTACTGTATAGTATTGTACTGTACTGTACTGTATTGTACTGTATTGTATTGTACTGTACTGTATTGTACTGTACTGTACTGTACTGTATTGTACTGTATTGTACTGTACTGTATTGTATTGTATTGTATTGTATTGTACTGTATTGTACTGTATAGTATTGTACTGTACTGTACTGTATTGTACTGTATTGTACTGTACTGTACTGTATTGTACTGTACTGTACTGTACTGTATTGTACTGTATTGTACTGTACTGTATTGTACTGTACTGTACCCTACCTATGAAGTAGGAGAGCAGCACAAGCAGCAGGACGGCAGCAGCGATGGCCGACACGGCAGCACATTTCCAGCTGCAGTACTTGGAGGGTTTCTTCAGCTTGAAAGAGCTCCTGGAGAAGGTGTTTCTGGGTAGCAGCCGCGGCGGTGGGGAGTAGACGGTTCCAGACGTCATGGGGTACCCTGGAGACGAGCTGCTGAACAGGGGAGTGGTCCCGGACGGGGTTTTAAACAGGAAGTGCCTACAGCGATGGAGAGAAAGGGAGAGATGGTCACAGAGAGTTAGAATCAGCTGCTACATCGTCTCTATTACCAATAGAATGTGCAAATTGCGTTGGAGTGAACAGTGGCCTTTTGAATATAATGAGACATCTGGAGCAATGAAGTGCTCCTCTATATTCCAGCAGCAATTATTCACTGGTCATTTACATGCATTGATTTTCTTATTAAAACACTGAATTTTTCTTAAAACACTGAATTATACAGCTAAAAGCATACAGAATATAAAGATGATTTCACAACTCCTTCCCAGCATTTGATTATGTTCATTGTCGGCATAGAGAGAATAAGATTTAACTGCTTCTTCATCGTCACGAGTCTCATTTCTACCAAAAACAACGAACTGCAAATAGCTTTAGTAAATACTGTTGTTAAGTCAGTCTGTTTCAACAGTATCTCTCCCCCCAGCACCTCCTTGCCCTCTTTGCAGTCAGAGAGGCAGTCTGACTCTGTGGGCCGTGCCCGGTGCCCGGCTTGGCTACGGGCAGACCACAGTGCCAGGCCGGTGCCCTGAGCCAGGTGGGCGGCGGGCCAGGGGAGGTCTACGAGGAGGCAGATGGGATTGGGATGAAAGTGGAAGACAGTTGACCGCGCCGCTTTGATGCAGGTCAGAAGCTCTCGCAAGCTGCTTCCCCACACTAAAACCCAGAAGCACTGTCCTCTCAGATCTCCTTCCACGGCTCCAGCAAGGATGGGGAAGGAAGCCCGAAATGACTTAGATATGAGTGAGAGAAAAAGTGAGGCTGAGCGAGATTTTTTTTTATAACTGGTTAGTTGCAGAAACAAGCTGTAGGAGGCTTGTGCAGGTCTCATAACTCAAGGCCCTACCTCGACGTGTCTCTGTCAGTCTTTACATTTGTGATCAGTCTAACGTTGGGCTTTACAGGCAGTCAAGGTCAACTGTGAAACCTGCTCAAGGCAACAGCCTGTTTTCATAGCCATGATGATTGTGTATCGGCATTTTCTCACCTGGAATAGTGCTGATAAAGTGGGCTGACTAGCCTGTCTCCCCACCAGTCAATATCAAATGATGGCTAGCTGCTGAGATCAACACACCCCACTAAACCCAAGGTCTCTGAAACGTGACCTAATAATCAACCTTCAATTCACTCGAATAATCTCCCACCTGTGTACAGTGAAATAAACACCTTGAGTGATGGTTTGTCTGAACATAATATATTATATATACCGTATATATGTCTTATATCAACAGAGAAACCGTGAGGGGCGATCAAAGGGATTACATCAAAGGATATGTTTAATGTACGTGATGGGTTGATCCCCATTTTGGTTGTATTAAATATGATTTCAGCCTACTACGATGCACACATGCTGACTTTCCAGTTGGCCATTAATGCCTCAGAGTATCATTCTCCAGGTGTCAGAGTATCATTCTCCAGGTGTCAGAGTATCATTCTCCAGGTGTCCGAGTATCATTCTCCAGGTGTCAGAGTATCATTCTCCAGGTGTCAGAGTATCATTCTCCAGGTGTCAGAGTATCATTCTCCAGATCTCAGAGTATCATTCTCCAGGTGTCAGAGTATCATTCTCCAGGTCTCAGAGTATCATTCTCCAGGTCTCAGAGTATCATTCTCCAGGTCTCAGAGTATCATTCTCCAGGTGTCAGAGTATAATTCTCCAGATCTCAGAGTATCATTCTCCAGGTCTCAGAGTATCATTCTCCAGGTCTCAGAGTATCATTCTCCAGGTCTCAGAGTATCATTCTCCAGGTCTCAGAGTATCATTCTCCAGGCCTCAGAGTATCATTCTCCAGGTCTCAGAGTATCATTCTCCAGGCCTCAGAGTATCATTCTCCAGGTCTCAGAGTATCATTCTCCAGGTCTCAGAGTATCATTCTCCAGATCTCAGAGTATCATTCTCCAGGTCTCAGAGTATCATTCTCCAGGCCTCAGAGTATCATTCTCCAGGTGTCAGAGTATCATTCTCCAGGTGTCAGAGTATCATTCTCCAGATCTCAGAGTATCATTCTCCAGGTGTCAGAGTATCATTCTCCAGGTCTCAGAGTATCATTCTCCAGGTGTCAGAGTATCATTCTCCAGGTGTCAGAGTATCATTCTCCAGATCTCAGAGTATCATTCTCCAGGTCTCAGAGTATCATTCTCCAGGTCTCAGAGTATCATTCTCCAGGTCTCAGAGTATCATTCTCCAGGTCTCAGAGTATCATTCTCCAGGTCTCAGAGTATCATTCTCCAGGTCTCAGAGTATCATTCTCCAGGTCTCAGAGTATAATTCTCCAGATCTCAGAGTATCATTCTCCAGATCTCAGAGTATCATTCTCCAGGTGTCAGAGTATCATTCTCCAGGTCTCAGAGTATCATTCTCCAGGTCTCAGAGTATCATTCTCCAGGTCTCAGAGTATCATTCTCCAGGTGTCAGAGTATAATTCTCCAGATCTCAGAGTATCATTCTCCAGGTCTCAGAGTATCATTCTCCAGGTCTCAGAGTATCATTCTCCAGGTCTCAGAGTATCATTCTCCAGGTCTCAGAGTATCATTCTCCAGGTCTCAGAGTATCATTCTCCAGGCCTCAGAGTATCATTCTCCAGGTCTCAGAGTATCATTCTCCAGGTCTCAGAGTATCATTCTCCAGGCCTCAGAGTATCATTCTCCAGGTCTCAGAGTATCATTCTCCAGGCCTCAGAGTATCATTCTCCAGGTCTCAGAGTATCATTCTCCAGGCCTCCTCCTAAGTGTAAAGGGGATGAAGACAGTGAAAAGCGGTGTCACCGTGGCAACCTGAGAATGTATTACACTGGGAGAGGAGTGACACTGGGACCTCTGACCCGTCTCCCCCAGCAGCCCTTCCTGACTGCTGTGTCCGTGCGCTAATGAAAACACGGCCGAGGTTAGCGTCCTGCCCCTTAGCCTGGCCTGCCCGCCGAAGCTGCCTGATTAATTACTTGTACCATGGTGACAGGCAGGCAGGCAGGCAGGCCGCTGGCCATGGCCATCACATCACACTGCGTTAGTGGAGAGAATATCCTCTCAGCTAGATGCATGTTAATTGCAACAATGGCAGGCAACAATGCAACAATGGCAGGCACCAGGTAAATTAATCTATAAATCAATCATATTTTATCCACCAGGGCACTAGTTATATAGCCGTTGTCAGAGACTGCTTTGCAAAGCAAAACAGAGATGGTATAATGGCTTTGAAGAGAGGAGATGGATGATACATCACAGTTCATTATGTGTGGATATTATCATCTGAATCATACAATACAATATTCTCACAACATACACTAGATCATATTCTCTCTCCTGACATGACAAAGATTGCAGTTTGGGTCCAAATCTGTCAACAAAATGTACATGCTATTCAGCGGTTATTAAAATACCACTTTAGCCCAAGATAACGTTCAGATCTCACACCTCCTCACATAACCTTCAGTTCTGAATCATCCATTTCTATGTGACTAAGTACAGAATATGAAGGTCATAGCTGACAGTTGACCTGCAGTGAACATACCAACCAAATGCCTTATAGGACAAAATGAGCCTATAATAAAAAGGCTTTCAAAACGTGAATTGCTTTAGATAACACACAATATCAAACACCTGCATATTTGAACAGAGGAGAGAGAGAGCATTAACGCTGCATTTGAATGATGACTAGATTTGTTTTGAAGAAGTAAAAGAAGAAGAGGAAACCAATCCCACCTAATGGGTCTAAGCTATTCCGTTTCAGATGAGACGTTTTTGTATTTTTATCTTTGTATTTACTTATCTAAATGTTTGCCTATAATCATTTTTAAGTAGCACTTAGGGTGAAAGTATTTTCTTTCCTTCCTGCTCCTGTTTGCAAATTGGTCACAACATGCCACTCAGAGAGGAGTTAATCCCACACAGACAGTTAAACAGAACCACCGTCGAATACAAAACCAAGCCAGACAGTTAAACAGAACCACCGACGAATACAAAACCAAACCAAACAGAACAAAATAAGACGGAAAAACAAAACTGTGCTCAAAGTCTCTCTTTTACATTAAACACTTGTCTCATCCTCGGGGGAGGGCGTGAAAAGCAACAGCGATTAACAAGTAAATGGAGATTTTACAGATAATGAACAGGAATTCAACTGGAGTCAAGCCTTATTAGTATTCTGCCAGATATACCAGGACATCATGGTAAAGCTATGAAGGGCAAGAGATATGTTGTAATGAACCGTGGTTGGCATTCGAGACACGGAGGGCTCTGTTGGAGGTTCTAGCTGCTTCTCGATCTCGCTCAATACCAGCACCTCCAGGACGGTAGGCAAGCAGGGCCTGTCTGCAACACACTCAGCTAGGTGTTAAGACACTGAACCATCTGACCGCATTGAAAGTGCCAGAGCCCAGTCAATCTAATCGAATAAAAATCAACATCAAAAGGTTTGGGAGTTAAAAATCAAATCAAATGTGTCACATGCGCCGAATACAACAGGTGTAGGCTTTACTGTGAGATGCTTACTTACGAGCCCTTAACCAACAACGCAGAGTTAAATAGTAAGAAACATGCAAAAAAAAAAAGGAAATACTAAGACAAAATACCAATAACGAGGCTGTATACAAGAGTTGAACCCCTAGTGGGGCTCTACTACCTTCAGAAGGAATTGAGTGACCTTGCAAAGGTGCAATACATCTCCATTTCTCTATGTAATGTATTGCACCATGCACTTTAAGGGACCACAATGGAAATAAGCCACTGACTTTATTGTGTTATCCCTAACTACTTTTTTAGTGTATGTAGTGTGTGCAGCCTATATAAGGGCTGTGACGATACCAGTATCACAATATTGTTTCCATGGCAAAAATGAAAACACCAATCAGACATAACTCTTTGGTCCTTTAAAAACTTGCTGTATGTAAAATATTGTGATGCTATAGCTTGGAAAATAAATAAATGTGACTCTGGATGACAACAATGTTTGTTTTCAACATTAGGGCTGTTTTCCCGGCCCATATAGATATATACTTTTTAAAACTGTCAAATCAAATCAAATCAATCAACCAACCTTTGAAGACTTCAACAACAGCCAATCACAATGCGGCAGTTGAACACAGAGAAAAATAATTTACATAGCGTAGCTCAGAGGTCACAGTTGAGAGACTGGGTCTTAGTGGGGTTGAAACAGTGAAAAAATTGCATAAAAAATGTCCTCCAAGCTACAAATGTTCTCCATTTGGAAATTGAACAAGCTACAAACACATTACTATTTAACATGGCAGTTTTCAATACTTACATGGTAATACAGTACCAGTATGTACTATAATAATACCACAATAATACCACAATAATACCACAATAATGCCATAATAATGCCATAATAATGCCATAATAATACCACAATAATACCACAATAATACCACAATAATACCACAATAATACCACAACAATACCACAATAATACCACAATAATACCACAATAATACCACAATAATACCACAATAATGCCACAATACTGCCATAATAATGCCACAATAATGCCACAATAATACCATAATAATACTACAATAATACCACAATAATACCATAATAATACCACAATCAGTGGCTTGGTCTTCATATTGCATGAGCCATACAATATTAAACATCACAGTGAGCTTTAATACTACGTTGTGAGCAGACTTTGAGCGTCGTTTAATAGCCTACATACACTAGTAGTAGTAATAATAATAATAATAATATTATATACCATTTAGCATATGCTTTCATCCAAAGCGACTTACAGTCATGCGTGCATACATTTTAAGTATGGGTGGTCCTGGGAATCGAACCCACTATCCTGGTGTAGCAAGCACCATGCTCTACCAACTGAGCTACAGAGGACCACAAGGGCAGGTAGGGCTCATATTATTATACATGCCAGATGAGGCTAATGAGCCTCCTGTAGCTCAGTTGGTAGAGCATGGTGCTTGCAACGCCAGGGTTGTGGGTTCGTTTCCCACGGGGGGCCAGTATGGAAAATGTATGCACTCACTAACTGTAAGTCGCTCTGGATAAGAGCGTCTGCTAAATGACTAAAATGTAAATAACAAATGTCTTTGCAAATGGACTGAATGCATGCTATGCATTCCGTTGTTAAGAATATAGGAGAAACCCCAATAGGCCTACAGCACCATTGCAGACATGGTCGCTACTCGCTACACCCAGTTTAATTGGGCTCCTCAGGGCTCCTCAGCAGAAATCGACTGCTGGAGGAGGACATTCAATCTGGAGATAGAGAGCGCGAGAGAGAGAGAGAGAGGAATGGTCCAGGCGTCTCAAACAAGACCATGGGGAGACAGGGAGAGAGCGGAGCGGCCAGCGACTCAGGGTAATGGGGATTTTATTATTTCTTTTCTGGAATGTGGTGAGACTGGGCCCTGGAGTATGACAGAAGTTATGAGGAAAAAGAAACCTGCTACGATCCGTCTATTCATAGACCACATCCTATATACAGTAGGCCTATAATTCCTCTAAACGAATGGGTAAATGAAGTACAATTTACAGAGCCACACATGGGAATTGGAAGTATCCCCAATTGGATCCTTTATGGATAACATTGAATACTTTTGCTGCTCATTTATGCACTGTAGTTCCGTGGCCTATAAAGACTAGAGCAGGGAATGCTATAAGATAGTACACTATGTTTCTACTGTAGTCATGTACAATAATGGTAAGCTTTATACAGTTGATTTGCTCCACTGCAAAAACCCAAGTCAATGCCTCCCTGCAGGTGTGTGTGTGTGTGTGTGTGTGTGTGTGTGTGTGTGTGTGTGTGTGTGTGTGTGTTTGAATGTACTGTATGAGTCATATTATCTCCATGGCAGTATGATGGACAGCATGGCTGGTGGTTCCAGGTCATAGGGTAAAGGGTCAGGCCCCAGCTGAAATGCCGTTTTGTTCCTATGAGGGAGACTGTAAAGAGCAAGCAGTATTAATGGGTGAAACTAAGTTAAAAGTGCTAGCACTGCAAGACGCCCTAGACAGGGGCATCTGAAAGACAAAGAAATATGAACTGAAGTGTGTGAGGTCAGGCCCATATGCCCCGACAGAAGCTATATTAATCTGCCTGCTGAGAACAGGCACTGAGGTGGCAGGGGGAGAGGGGCGATGGGAACAGGGAAGCTGGGGGACGGTAGAAGGGCAAGGAGGAAGGGGGTAGTGAGGGGAAAGATGCAGTGTTGTTGTACTGTTTTGTGTGTGTTCTTTGCATGTGTGCATTCTGCCGAGACACGCTTTTAAAGGGATAGTGTGCGTTTTTTTCAACTAAGCCCCCTTTCTACTTATCCAGAGTCAAATGAACTCATGGATACCATATTTCCGATGGTGTCAACACAATTGTATTTTCATGCATTTTGGAGTAGAATGTATTTTTTTTTAAGTCACCAGAAATTACCTTTACACATTCGTTCTACAAAAAAATGACCCCCTCAGCAAAGAGCAACCAATAACCCCCCCCCCCCCCCCCCCCCCCTTGCCACCACACCTTTGCCAACAATGCTGAAAAAACTCCTAGGGGAAACACTGCGTAGGAAGAGGAGATTGGAGAGCAATGATGTGCTGTCGGTCCACTCTAAAAAAGGGAGGTCATAAATCCTATGAAACCAGCTAACAAACCACCATCCAGGAGACGTTTGGGGGTAATATATGGTCTAAAAAACCTGAAAAACAGCAGAACACAACTCATGCTGCTACAGTAATACACCAAACCAGGAATTGAAGCCCCACCCTCCTGAGCAGTAAGTCATTATTCTGGTGCATCTCAGAAAACATGATGGAATTTAGAAACATTTATAAATATCTATACTGTGTACAGTAATATGATAATTTGGAGTTCCAATAGTAAAAAAAATAAAAAATCTAACGACTTTCCTCTCTTTGTGGAGGCATTCTGGCTGTGACTCAAGCGCCAGGCTCCATTTTGGAGAGGAGGGAGCAGGTAGGTAGAAGCGCCAGGCTCCATTTTGGAGAGGAGGGAGCAGGTAGGTAGAAGCGCCAGGCTCCATTTTGGAGAGGAGGGAGCAGGTAGGTAGAAGCGCCAGGCTCCATTTTGGAGAGGAGGGAGCAGGTAGGTAGAAGCGCCAGGCTCCATTTTGGAGAGGAGGGAGCAGGTAGGTAGAAGCGCCCGGCGGTAGCAGGCATAGCAGGAGCTGCGCCTGTGCTCCCGGTGAATAAAACATCTGAGAGACGAGCCCTGTAGTCCCGGCCTCATGAATTGTGCACGCAGCGTGTTTGGGGTGTGATCTGGGAACATCGAGGAGGGGCCCACAGCCTAGCATAAGCCCGGCAACCACACACCACGGCAACCACACACCACGGCAACCGCACACCACGGCAACCGCACACCACGGCAACCGCACACCAAACAAAAGACAGAACAGAGGGAGAGAGGAGGACACCAGCTTCTATGTCACAGAACCCCAGAGGGAGAGCAGCGGGCGGGGCCTCTGCCTGTGTGCCAGTGTGGCAGCGTGTGAAGATGGGCAACGGCAGGACGGGATGTTGGGTTGAGAGCTCTACCAGCTGGGCACCCACAAACCTGACCAGAGGCTTTAAGTCCAAGATTGAGACCTCTGTCACCTGGATAAATACAACAAACTGAACAGTACAAGGAACTGATAGGAAGCAGAATGCTTTCCTGTCCCCCTAAACAGGGAAGGTGTCCAAACATCAACATGGCAGGCGGGCGGGGTGATAGGGTAACTGACCTGGTCTCCAGGGGCACGCTGCTGTTCAGCGCCCAGCTGTCCTGAAGCTGGACTGACTCTGGCGTGGAGGGACCCTCCCCGGGGGCCGCCGAGGGGGCGTGGGCTGGGCCGCGACGGCTGGCCAGGGTGTTGGGGTTCAGGGAGCTGGCTGACGACTGGTGGTGGTTGTGAGGAGGAGGGAGCGGCGGCCGCAGAGATTGACTGTGGTGGTTGTTGGGAGGACCTGAAAGAGAACACAGGAACAAATTAGGGCTCATTGTTTGACCGGAATGTGTTCTAGCGCAGAGATTTAAAAATGACTACTTCACAGCCTGTTTTGACTGATTTAATGAAGGCTATTTCCATTGACATTGATGCATGTTTGGATCCTTTGTTTCATATGAAATTTTTTCATATCATGTGTTACAAATTACTATATGAGAACACGTCAGATCCAAATAAGAAAAAAACATTTTTTTATTTTTATAAATCGTACAATTATAAAGTACAGTATTTTACAGAGCAAATCAGACTAAACCAACCTCCTGTAGAGTGACCTAATCACATTGTAACTCAACACATTGTTTATCATATTGTAACTCAACACATTGTTTATCATATTGTAACTCAACACATTGTTTATCATATTGTAACTCAACACCCTGTTTGCTGACAAAAAGGCAAGGAGAGAAGGATTATCCTAAAAACATATTCAAATACGCCCAATAATAAACATCAAATGCATGAAGATCTTACAAAGATACAAAGCTCATCTGAAAAACTGCTATGTAAGCCCTTCTCCATTTTTCAACTAATAAAGGAAAACATTTATGAAAATTGAAAGCTCTGAATTAACTTTGTGAAAGTTAAAAATGTTAAATTGTGACTAAAAGTATCCAAATAATGCAATCAGAATGGTTTCTTTTTACATTTACATCATTTTCCTTTAATCAAATAATGACATTAAAATATTTTTCTACATTTTCGTAGCAGCCCTAAATCAAACCATTTCATTAAAAGATAATGAAAGTAGTTAATACTAATACAGATTTTGGCAAATAATATCTAAATATCTCTAAATTAATGAAGTGGTGTTAGAAAATATCACTCATTATTCAAGTCTACAAAGACATATTTGGACAATTCTAATTTCAATCTACAGATATGATAATAAAATAAAAACCCTTAGTGCCTCCACTCACAGCCTGCAGTGCATGATGGACATATGGTAAATAGCCTTCATCAAACAATGGCAAGATAAATTAAATCGACATATTACTCTACAAGGACAAATAATGTTTACTTCTTCCATAACGCCATAACAGACTTATTGACGGATCTAAAGGCTAAGCCTAATGTGGAAAAAAGCCACAAGAACATCTATTCTCCATTAGGGTTTCTACTGCCTATCCTTGTACAGTTGAAGTTGACATTTTCTATAGGATTGAGGTCAGGGCTTTGTGATGGCCACTCCAATACCTTGACTTTGTTGTCCTTAAGCCATTTTGACACAACTTTGGAAGTATGTTGGGGTCATTGTCCATTTGGAAGACCCATTTGCAACCAAGCTTTAACTTCCTGACTGATGTCTTGAGATGTTGCTTCAATATATCCACATAATTTTCCTTCCTCATGATGCCATCTATTTTGTGAAGTGCACCAGTCCCTCCTGCAGCAAAGCACCCCCACAGCATGATGCTGCCACCCCCGTGCTTCATGGTTGGTGTTCTTTGGCTTTTAACACCCCCTTTTTCCTCCAAACATAATGACGGTCATTATGGCCAAACAGTTCTATTTTTGTTTCATCAGACCAGAGGACATTTCTCCAAAAAAGTACGATCTTTGTCCCCATGTGCAGTTGCAAACCGTAGTCTGACTTTTTTATGGCGGTTTTGGAGCAGTGGCTTCTTCCTTGCTGAGCGGCCTTTCAGGTTGTGTCGATATAGGACTCGTTTTTACCTGTTTCCTCCAGCATCTTCACAAGGTCCTTTGCTGTTGTTCTGGGATTGATTTGCACTTTTCGCACCAAAGTACGTTCATCTCTAGGAGACAGAACGCGTCTCCTTCCTGAGTGGTATGACGGCTGCGTGGTGCCATGGTGTTTATACTTGCGTACTATTGTTTGTACAGATGAACGTGGTACCTTCAGGCGTTTGGAAATTGCTCCCAAGGATGAACCAGACTTGTGGAGGTCTACAATTGTTTTTCTGAAGTCTTGGCTGATTTCTTTTGATTTTCCCATGATGTCAAGCAAAGAGGCACTGAGTTTGAAGGTAGGCCTTGAAATACATCCACAGGTACACCTCCAATTCACTCAAATGATGTCAATTAGCCTATCAGAAGCTTCTAAAGCATGACATCATTTTCTGGAATTTTCCAAGCTGTTTAAAGACACAGTCAACTTAGTGTATGTAAACTTCTGACCCACTGGAATTGTGATACAGTGAATTATAAGTGAAATAATCTGTCTGTAAACAATTGTTGGAAAAAGTACTTGTGTCATGCACAAAGTAGATGTCCTAACCGACTTGCCAAAACTATAGTTTGTTAACAAGAAATTTGTGGAGTGGTTGAAAAATTAGTTTTAATGACTCCAACCTAAGTGTATGTAAACTTCCGACTTCAACTGTGTACTTCATTGAACAATCCAGGAGTAACATAAAAATATCAGTTACCCACGTATAAAGTCAATATGCTAAAATAACAGTGGCCTACCCTCTTCCACATACGGAACTGATGAAAGAATCAGACTCACACCAGGACATGAAAAGGAGAGGAGAGGAGAGATGAAAGAGGGGATTGTGATCAGCTATGGTTTGGAGGGCCAGGGTGTGTAATCTCCCGCACCACACTGTGTAAGAACAGGAGAAAAACTCAGTGCTACAAAACCCACACATCACAAAAGCTGGGTTTGGACTGCAGGGACGCTGGGAACTTTGGAACAATCTGAGAAGCACAATGGGGCCGAGCTCAGTGGATTATACTGTGACGTGGCTATCAAAAGCACCCCTTCCACACTGCAGCCCCGGCTAAACACAATGGCATTCTGGCACTGGCGCTTTAATGTGTTCTGATAACCTTGGCCGTGCTCAGATCCTACGCTTCTTCCTCAATTTCCCCCCTGCAAACTGCCGTTCAGGCTCAAAATCGAGCCGACAGCCATTGAGGTTGTCTACCAACCCTCAACGGGCCTGTGCCGCGGTTGTCTACCAACGGGCCTGTGCCGCGGTTGCCTCTAACAGGTCTGTGGGCACACAGGAACTACACCCCTGTGTGAACCAGTGGAATCCCACAGACACAATGGTCGCCTCCATATCTGTTTAATACAGTGGAGATCACAGTGGAGATCTGAGCAGGGGGGGGTTGTCAAAGTCACTACTGTAATACGCAGATTACAGCATTCAGCAGCGTGCCGGCATTTAGTAGTCCGCTGTATTGTGTTTTAATAGCTCTAATAAAAAGGCCCTCTACTTCTCTTTAATGCCACAGCTGGTCCTTCCACAGAGGATCAGCTGTGGCTCAGTACAACGGGTGAAACACAACAGGCCACTATCTTTATACCTATTTAAACGATATGCTCCATCTTTAAAAACTCAGTTGTGCTGCCACGGTAGAGGAATGGCGGGGGCACCTAGCTGCACTGCTGCTTTAGCGGTGGGGGGGCAGCAGCTTGACATGGTGACTTAACCCTGTACCATAAAGAGATGGTAGCATGGTTGGGTCACAGCACAGTGGAGTGGTCCCTAACACGGCACACACATGAACAGATAGCAACAACACGAGCCAGGCAGAACGAGTGTACTCACTCAACCTATCGCCAAATGGAGAATGACCTTTTTTTTTTTCTTTCAGCCTGGAAGACAATCATTCCAATTACAAACAAAACAACGTCCTATGAGAAGCAAGAGAGGAAAACTAGAATTTAGTAAATGAGGATGGAAACGTAAAAACAGGCAGCCATGTTGGTAATTTCCACGCCATGGATATAGAATTAAGAAACTTCTAAAAGGTTAATTGAGGCAGCTCTAGCAGAAATGGAAATTGAGTCTGTCCGTTTTCTTTGTATGTATCAGAAAAAATATAAAAATTTCTCAAATTAAAGAGGGGGATATTGTAATTAATATTAATTCTTGAGGGGTAAAAAATTCTGTTTTCATTTAAAAACCAAGATTTATGTCAGTGGTTCTTATCCTGGGCCACATGCTCCACGTTCAGTTTCCCTTTGTCTACCAGGCCCTGTAACCATAGCTGGAATACACATTTGTGATCAGGTACTTGAGAGCCGACTGTAGAATCCTTATTTTTGTAGCTTCCCTTCGCATCTCAGCCTGCATCATAAAGCCCATTCAATGTAAAAAAAACTGTTGAGATGTGAAACAGCACTGCGCTGTATTCATTCCATCCATAAAAATGACATTAATTCCCCCTCCATCTTCTACATCATCTTCCTTTTCTAAATGTGTTTTTATTTCAATGCTTTCTCTTCCCCGTCATTGAACAGAGTTGCTGAATAGTTTAGTTTGAATTTACTGTGCAAACCTACAAAACAACAACAACAACAACCCGAGAGCTCATGTCCAATAGGCTACAATTTGATGGTTTGTTGTTTTTGTATTACTTCTGTAGAAAAAAAGCTGGCTGAATGTTCAAGGCAATTTGCTACAAAAGGATGGAACTCAGTTTGAACTTGAAATGACCTATATGCCTGTTTGTTTGTCCAACCGTTAGGAGTCCAGGCTACATAACTTGTTTGCGATAATGACCCCAGGTGTAGAATGTGTTTTATAGCCCACCTCAGCTGTCAAAGATCCATGTAGAAAAAGAGACAGAATGCTGAAAGGGAATAAAAGGGCTAAAAGTAATTACAGTTCAGAGGCAATGCAGGGCGAAATGGAAACACCGCAACAACAGCTTCTTCCCCCGTTGTTGTTAGTGGTGCATGGCGATGTTGAAATTACTGCAGCTCAGCTTCGCAGACTACGGGCTAGAATGACAAGGATTAAAATAAATTGCCCAGCATGGGCGGTGGGAACCATGGAAAAACAATACGGGTAAAAGCATAAATGTCAATTTGGAATGATAAAAGACACAATGTACACAGGGCAGGAGAAGCCTCCAAGAAAGCAGGTAATAGAAATTGCGATTTTTACTGTGACTCAGGCTCCTTAAAAATAAATGAGGTGGCATGATTGGAGAGGGGGCATTTTTCTGTCTTCCACTCTGTTGTTAGTTCCTCCTATCGATCTCTTCACACACACAAAATGTCTTAATTGAAACA